AACAGCCAGGGACAGCGGGATCTCTAGGGCAAGCAGAAAATGAGCTGGAGTTTCTGCCAGGAGCAGCCACGTGGCCCTGGGTGAAAATCCCAGGGACTGACAGGAGAGGACAAGCTGTAGGAAGACAAAATCCTGAGGCTGACTCAGCTCCATCCCAGCACGGATGCGGCTGGACCAGTAACGGGCTGTTGTGGGGCTGGGCAGCTGCCTGGGGAATTGCTTGCGGGAGGGTTGAGCATCCGTCAGCTTAGCGCTGCCCAGAGCTTGTGGCAGATGCTCCCACGTCTGACCCAAACGGGTTCAGAGAAAGCAAACAAACAGCCACCCCGTCTGCCGTACCCATCACCCAGGGCAGGGAGGGCTCGGCAGAGGTCTGACAGACCGGCGCGGCACCGAGCGAGCCCTGGCAGCCCGTGCCTGTCTGTCTCCGCAGGTCAGCATCGCCCTGATCAGCTTTCTGGAGACCATGCTGCTCATCTATCTCAGCTACAAGGTGAGTGCCGCGGGCGGGCACTGGACAGTGATGCTCAGGCTGGCTCTGCCCCCCGGCGTGAATCCATTTCTCTGTCTTTGAGCTGTCTGAAGCCCGCAGCATCCCGAGAGGAGGTTTGTCTCGGCGACGTCTCAGCTCTGGCTGCGGCTGTTTTCCTCTCTCGTTCCCCCTCGGGCTGCTGGATGAGTGTTTGGCAGAGCAGAGCTGGGGGATCTCTTGTTTTTTCACCTTCTTTTAAATCAGACCTGTTTTACAAAGGGTCACTGTTTATTTGGGGTGGGGGGCAGCTTGCTGCATGCTGAGTTTCCTGAGGCTGAGGACCGGGAGCTGAGCTGGGCTGGAGTCTGCTGCCACCGGAGATAGCGGGCACTGCTCCCAGCTGGACAGGGAGCGGCACAGGGTGACTCCTTGGGATCAAAGCCCCTTAAAATGGCCAAGAAAAGTGACCTTAACACATGGCATCTTCCTGGGGTCGCTGGGAGAGAAAAGGCTCAGACCCTGTGTCACCCCCCTGGTCTGGCTGCCAGCGACCTGGATCGGTCGCTCTCGTTCTCCACCCTTGCCCAGAGCATTGTTGTCCCCTGGCTTTGGGCAGCAGCAGTGACAGACAGAGGGACACTGGGGCTGCGGAAAGGACCAGACAGTTTGGGAAGGTGATTCCCACTCCAGTGTATGCCGCCAGCACGGCAAAACCAGAGCATCTCCGGCTGCTCTGGCGTGCATCCCCCATCTAGCAGGGTCCGTGGCGGAGTGGGAGCTTTTAAATTATCATTTGGCAGATATTTAAGCTTGTTTAATTATTATTGGTTTTAAATTTCTCAGGGGAACATTTGGGAACAGATTTTTCGCATTTCGTTCATCCTTGAGATGATCAACACAGTGCCATTTATTATCACGGTGAGTGTTTCCCGCTGACATTTTAAAGCAGCTTTAAGTTTAATCCTTACTACAGCTTTGGTGGTGAAATACAGAAAAAATGAATGTCTGGCCAAGCAGTGTTTAAAGGTGGGAGGAAATTTTTTCCTTCAGTATTTTTCAACATAACGACTTTCTCTGGAGCATTATCCCCAAAACCATCCTCTGGTTTCAGCTGCCGGGGCTTGGTGGCAGCCTGTGCAGAGGCTGGTGCTTAGTCTGGAGATGGATCCTTCCCGGCAGGGTTCGAATTGGCTGTTTATGGCTTTTTTTTCATAAAGAACATGGATTTTTTCTGCAAATAACCCTTGCTTTTGTAGATATTCTGGCCTCCTTTGCGGAATTTGTTCATTCCCGTGTTCCTGAACTGCTGGCTTGCCAAGTACGCCCTGGAGAACATGATTGTGAGTGGCCAGACGCGTCCCCCTGCTCTTGCCCGGGCTGCTCTGCCCTGGGGACGCTGAGGGCAGCGTGGGTGGCAGGGGGGCCCTGGGCTGCTGCCGGCTCTGGGGCAGTTTTCGGCGCTCGGCGGTGCGTGCAGCCGTGCTGGGTTGGTGGGAGGTGAGGCTTTGCCAGCTGGTGATGAGCCTGTCAGTGTCTGAGCTGAGCTGACTCTATTGGCTGTACAGTGACAGGGACGGCCTCTGGCTGTCCCCAGGATATGGTGTGATGGCAGGATGTGACATTCTGGCCATTCCCATGTGCCTGCTCAAGCTGTCCCTCCCAGCATCAGAGCCCAGAGCAGCTCCCAGAAATGCACATCCCTTTTCAAGGGGCAAATTCTGGTCTGACCTCCATCTGGGGGGCACAGGGGGGCCTTGCTGGAGCCAGCACGGCAGCAGTTGGTACTTTAAGGGGTACTTGACCCTCAGCCGCTCCGAGCCCTCTCCTCTCTCCGCAGAATGACTTGCACCGAGCCATCCAGAGGACGCAGTCGGCAATGTTTAACCAGGTGCTCATCCTGATCTGCACCCTCCTGTGCCTTGTGTTCACAGGGTGAGTGTTGCTCTTCATTTTGCTAAACCACCTCCTTCATCCAGGGAAACCAGCGCTGGGCAGTGTCTTGCAGCCTGATTTTTCAGCCCGAGAGGTTTGTGCACGCTAACGAAAGTGTAACCATTCAGGTCTGCCAGTTGGGTTGAACTCCCAAGTCTCGAGCATCCTTCTTTTGCTAAAGGGACAAGTCCCAGTTCCTCGGGCTGAGTGTTGGGACTGGGGGAGCCATGGTGAGGCATGTGCCCCATGTTTCCACTCCTGTCCGGGGGCTTTGGCTCCAGCACAGGACCTCTGGCACCAGCCCCCAGCGCCAGGCTCCTCCCCTCCTGGCTTCATTCTCCAGTGCACTGAACACCGGGAAGACCAATTCCTATTTTAGAAACTAATTATCCTCCCTAATTATATTATTTTAAGAGAAACTTTTTAACGATGAAGGTGTTGTTGGAGGGAGGGGGGCAATGTGGCCACACGAGTCTCGGCACAGGGCTGTGAGTGCTGCAGGGACAGCAGCTCCCGTGGGGACACGGGCTCGGATGCGTGTGACAGCTCCATCACCAGGACCCGTTGTACTAGCTGGCTCTGACCGCGCTCCTCCTCTCCACCCAGTTACCATGGCTGCTGGGCTCGTTGGTGTAACAGCTCTCATCGATGGGTACTCAGCTGTGAATTAGGCTCCTTGGCTCTTCCCCCGGCTCCCTTGGTCTGGATTTCAAGCCTGTAATACCAATTAAGTCGCTGAATGGACGGACGGAAAATGAATCTTTTAGGCTTCTGGGGCTTTGGCAATAAAGACAGCGCTCTGATGCGAGTGGCTAACGCAATTTCGGAGCGCATCAGTGCTCCCTGCCCATGGCAGCTCCTACACGCCGGGACCATGGACGTGTGTCTTGGCGATGTGGCATGGCTACCGTTGGGGTCCAGGACAGCTCAGGTGACACTGGTGTTTAGCAGGACGACTTTGAAACTGCAGGTCTGGGGAGATATACTGCCAGCCTAACCATGGGGAGCCAGGTGGCTCTGCAGCATGGCTTTGCAAAGGCAGTGGCACAGGACTGGGAGCAGGTGATGGATCTGCCTCCTGGTGCTGAAGCACATCCCACCCATGAGAGCCCTTCCCGTGGGCTGAGTCCCTCCAGAGCCTTACTGGCTTCCCCATTGTATGTTTTTGCAATGCAAGGGCAGCCCCCAGGTGATGTTCACCCTGCCATCCATGGCATGTCTGATCCCGACCTGTCATCCCAGACCTCAACTTCCCCATGGTGCTTTGGTAGCCACCATGGCAATCTAACTCCATCTGTAAGTGCCATTAGCTGAATAATTTCTGTTGGTGACATAAATCCACTGCTGACGCTGATGGTGTCTTACAGACAAATTTCTTCCATGGCCATGAGTGTAAGTCACCTTCGAGGGCTCCCCGCTGGCTTCAGCAGAGCTATGGGCATTGCCGGGCTCCCGGCAGGGCAGCGCTGGCTGTGACGTGTGCTTTCTCCCTGCAGGACCTGCGGCATCCAGCATTTAGAAAGAGCAGGTGAGAAGCTCTCCCTCTTCAAGTCCTTTTATTTCTGCATCGTCACCTTTTCCACCGTGGGCTATGGAGATGTGACACCAAAGATCTGGCCTTCCCAGCTCCTCGTCGTGATCATGATTTGCGTCGCCTTGGTCGTGCTGCCGCTCCAGGTGAGCCCTGGGCAGCCGAGGATGGAGAGGGATGCAGAGCCCGCGCCCGGGCAGCCCTGCCGATGGGGACACCAGCTCTCTGCCTTTGTTTGCAGTTTGAGGAGCTCGTCTACCTGTGGATGGAGCGGCAGAAGTCAGGAGGCAACTACAGCCGCCACCGTGCCCAGACGGAGAAACACGTCGTCCTTTGTGTCAGCTCCCTCAAGATCGATCTCCTCATGGACTTCCTCAATGAATTTTATGCCCACCCACGCCTGCAGGTGAGGACCAGGCAAGGTGACAAGTGGTCCCCTACGGCCACCTTGCTTTGCCATCTCAGCGGTGGGGCTCTCTGCCCTGTTTTCTGGACAAGACCATGGAGAGGGACCAGAGGGGCTTTTCTAAATGTAAGGATGTCTTTGCTGAATGAAGACTCTCAGGCAGAGACAGAACACCCAATTGCTAAACCTCGGTGGGATTTACCCATCTCTAACTGAGCACCCCCACACAATAAGTGATCTTCTCGCAAATGACTGTGCCATTCCCTCTCCCCAAGGCAGAGCGTTGCAGAGGTGTTTCAGATTTGCATTTCATTCCAACACTCACATACGCTCCATTACCATCGCCCAGCCTTGGCTCCATACATTACAGCTTTAAAATCCTGCTCATTGCAGTAACTCCTGGGGGCTCCCCTTTGCCATGGGCACACAGCTCCTTCCCAGTTCCATGGTCAAATGTGCCTGCGTTGGCTTTGTCATGCAGAATGGGGTGGAGAAGATGCTGATGTGTTTCCCAAGACCCTTGCAAGACCCTAGAGCAGGGGCTGGGGGTGTTACACACTGGGACCAAATATCAAAACTCCCAAAACACCCACAAGACACCGCCAGCCTGCCCACCCACCCAGCCTCTCTCTTTCAGGATTACTACGTGGTGATCCTGTGCCCAACAGAGATGGACATCCAGGTGCGAAGGGTCCTGCAGATCCCTCTGTGGTCACAGCGAGTGATCTACCTCCAGGGCTCTGCGCTGAAGGACCAGGACCTCATGAGAGCCAAGTGAGCTCCCCAGTTTCAAGCCTGGCTGGCATGGGCAGATGCCCAGCTTTGCTGGCCCATGCCATTCATGGGGTCGCTGCTCTCTGTTTGCAGGATGGACAACGGAGAAGCCTGCTTCATCCTCAGCAGCCGAAACGAGGTGGACCGCACTGCTGCGGTAAGCCAGGCTGGGGGAATGGCATGGTTGGAGGTTATTCATTCCTCAGCCCAGAGGAGCTGCCTGGTCCATCCCTGCTTTGGCGCTTGGCTCCTGCTTGTAACAAAGCTGCCGAAGGGTCCCTGTGGGCAGGGGGTGACTGCAGAGAAACACAGAGGTGGCATGGGGACGGCATGGGGACATGCCCTGTGGGCTCACCCTTTGCTTTCCCATTTTCCCATCAGTGCTGGGGTTTCAGGGGCAGAGGAGGGGTGTTACGCCCGTTAGCAGTGGGTGTTGGAGGAGCCCTTGCTGCGTGTCTCCGCGGTGGCAGGGTGCTTTGCAGTTCATCCCGGGTGAAAATTGGGGAAAATAAGCCATCAGACAAGTACCTCTTGCTCTTCTCCTTGGCCAGGACCACCAGACCATCCTGAGAGCCTGGGCTGTGAAAGACTTTGCTCCAAACTGTCCTCTCTACGTCCAGATCCTAAAGCCTGAAAACAAGTTTCACGTCAAGTTTGCTGGTGAGTCGGAGGGGCTGGGTGGCAGCGGGCAGCACCGCTCGCCTCGCCGGGCAGGACTGTCTGACCTGTCGGGTCGGGCCTGTCTGCCCTGCCAGCACGGACGTGCCCAGCGGTGTTTCCATCTTGGAGGAGTCCATGACCTGGTGCTGAGACTCCTTCCAATTGCTGGAAGATATTTCAGGGCCATCAGCCCCTTTATCACGATGCACACTAAAGCCTGCAGCAACGTGCCTGTGTCTGGGGAAAGCTGGCTCTGGGCACACTGGTCCCATGTGTGCCTGGGTGTGTGTCCCTATGGATGTGGTGGCAGTGGGCTGGTGTCCCCCTGGTTAGTTTCCAGCCTGCATCCCTGTTTTCCTGCCCATTCATGGTGTTCCCCGTGGGCTGTTGATCAGCTGAAAGCCCTCCTGGACTGGCAGGAGGAGGAAACACCCAGCCCCCACCACCACCC